AGAAATTCTTTCAAAAATGAAATAGGAGTCAGGTTTTAATGAAATTTACAGGACGTATTCAAAAAGGAATTAAATTATTGGTAAAAATATGATTTGTTTTACATCAGTTATCCACTGACATTGCTTAATTATTTAAATTTTTTAGAGATTAAAATTCCACTCACTTCATATTAATATTAGTTAAAAGCAGGACTCTTGGAGAATATAAAATATAAATCATTTTTTTTTCAAATAGAAGCACCATTTACCGAAAATCAGGTCAGAATCGAAGAAGAAAAAAATCCAATAAAACTAAGAAATTATTTAATTATAAAATCATTTAATTGTTTTTGAAATAAAATATATTATGGACACTATTGTCTTAATTATTTTTTCGATGAATAACGAATTTTTACAAGAATTGTTTTTATTTTTTAAATTTTCATTAATTTTAATTAGAATGGAAAAAAGACATGCCATCATTGACCAGTGCGGAATTATATATATATATATATATATATATATATATATATATATATATATATATATATATATATATATATATATATATAATGTACACACAGGGTGTAACAGCAAAATTGCCCATTTGTTATTTTAAGCACTGAACCGTTCTAACTTAGAAATGATTAAAGATATCTTACTGGAATTCTTACTGAAGTTTTCCTTCCTACTGTTCCCTTTTTTTTAAACTTATTCACCGTTGTTTTGACGGTTATTGAATGGAATTTAAAGATTATTTTTGGAAGATTTTTAATAAAGAGAATTATAATACGAAAGACGACTAAAAAAGGCCTTAATGAGTTATTTTAACAAAATAAAATTCTTCCAGTCAATTTAAATTAGTTTTAAGTTAGTTTTTAGATACAGTAAAGTATTTGTATTATGGGAAATATTAAATTTAATCTATTAGATTGAAATTTAAAATATAGTTTCAAGCAAGATTTTTCATTTAAAAAAAATCATTTTAAAACTTAGGCATCGTGTAATTTTTTTTTGTTGAGTGGGAGAGGTTCCTACCCAAAAGTATGTCCCTAACGAAATACTACAGAGTGCCCCATAATATCAAGGAAAATTGGTACAGTTTCTTTAACTGTTGGAAGTTTGGTTACAGTTATTTGAAACAAAAGAAAAGGATAGAAATTTAGTAGCTTGAAACAGAACAAAAACACTGAAGACTTTCGTAATTTGCATCTAAATGTTATCCCATTAATTTGACTCAAATTGCTATCCAATTGAATTGTTTATACTTTATTTTCCTATACGTATAATATAAACATTAATTATGTATTCTTTATTTTAAAGCTTAAATAATGAATGTTGAAAAATTGCAATTAGAGCCATTTTACACTATTTGCGCAAAAATAGACTATGTGCAATGGGAAAAGAAATTAATGCAAATGGAAGGCCCCGAAAATGTTAACGAATGTGCGCCAGAAAACTGATTCAGACGTTTCAATGAAGGAGGCATCAAAGATAAATAAAGATTAGTGATGCATTCTGTTGTGGAAGATGATGCCTTGCTTAAGATGATGGAGCAACCAAGCACAACAACTGGTACACATTTCGGCAGAACCTTGTCCTTTACAAAGCGCCATCAATCGACACCTCCATAAGCTCGGCCTTGTGAGAGGATCCTGTCGAAAATTTCCTCATGAACTGACCAATAACCAATGACCAAGACTCAGTGACGTGTGATAATTTCAAACAAGTGATGGCAAAGATATCCGTGTTTAGCGTTGAATGGGGCGAAAATGGATCTATTTTCGTAATCCTAAGAGAAATCAGTGGCGTCGTTCCAGACAGGCTTCAGAACCTTTTGTCAAACAAGGGCGGTTTAAACAGAAGGTAATGTTTTGTTTTTAATGGAATTTTTATGGGGTGCTGTATTTTGGGCTTTTTGTAGATAGCCATGCTGTGTACGCTGCTCTTTATGCTAAACAACTCTAGCGAATGTATGATGCTTTGAAAACTCGCTACACGGCATCGATTAAACGAAAACGCTCACTTCTACAGCATAACAATGCTCCAAAACACACTGCCAATGTGGTCAGTCACAAATTTGAGGTACTTGAGAGGCTGGAGGTGCTGCCTGATGCTGCCTACAGTCCAAACCTTGCACCTTTCAGTTTACCACCTTTTCTGGTCTATGGCTCATTTCTTGGGTGGAATGATGTTGAAAACGGGTGATGGGATTTTTTTTTTGTCTCTAAGCCAGACAAATAATATAAAGGTGGAATTTAGCTTCAGGCAAAGCGATGGCAACTGACAATAAAATAGGATGGGATATATTTGGATGAATAAACGCTTTCCGAATGTAACTTATTTGAACTATTAATTAAATCTTGAATCGCAAAACAACATTTGACTCAACCTGGTAAACTGCTTCTACATTTAAAATGCTACAATTATTTAAAATAAATATCAAGTTTAACCACAGAAGTAGTTAAACTGAATATTAGTTCAAAGTGCTATACGCTTTTCCTGCTTCCCAGAAGTGGTTGCTAGACAGAAAATCCCTTTCAAGCTGTATGCATGTTTCTGTGAGCGAATGTGTATTTTAATTCAGTGACAGACTAAAAATATTTCTCCATTTATTTTTAATTTAAAAATTAGACTTGTTGAAATTCTCACAATATTTAGTATTGTTTAAACTATCGGTAATATTTTTTGTCTAAATTTACAAAATACGTTCAATTTCGCGAACCAATCGATGAATCTTGAATAAACTGAATTGCTTGGAAAAATACTTTGAAAAAACTTCTTCTTCTCGGTTTAATAATTTCTTTAATTTAATCTAATTTTATAGGATTCATAATAAACAATATTTTTAACAAAATTTCTTTTTTTTTCATTTTTAACAGCGTAGAATAAATTCTTAGGTTTTCTTATTCTTGAGCATGCAGCATACAACTGGCCATCTATAAATATTTCTTTCTGGACCAGATATTCAATTTTTGAAAGCGTTTGACCTCGTGATTTGTTTAGAATTCACACAAACGGAGGGCGAATTTGAAACTGGATTTTTTCCATTAGAAAAAAAATACTCGAATGGTTTAAGAATTATTGGCATTAATACTACCCGTCCTCTTACAAACATGGCACATTTTAGTCGTCTGCAGTCGAATTTGGTTTCGATCGGTAATATATGGCTATTTTAGACGGTGTGACGGACGGACGGACTCACTGACGTAAGTCACAGAATTTTATATATATATGTATATATATGTATAATTGTGGTTATTGTATAATAAATTTCGAAATGTTCTATAAAATCTTATAATTATCTGGTGTTTTTTTGTTTTATCATTGTTGAAACTTGACTAATGCATGGAATAATAATGCAACACAAAATGTACTTAGAACAAAATGTATTGAAACAAGAAAGTGTACACAATATTTACATATAGTCTTTTGTATATTCCTGGTAAGACCGTTCCTGGAGAATGTGTTGACTGAGTCGCAGTCGGGCAGAGTCTCTGGATTGAATGTCTCGATTCCTCCCCTCTCTTCCCGGTACCAACCATATTTATATGGTCGGTACTCCACTATGCAAATTAGGTGGATCCTACCACAACAATCATCAAGAAATTTGTCATACCATTTTTATCTGAATTCACTTTTTGTGGGCATTATAAAATCTAACGTAAATTCATTTTATTATCATAAATAATAAACTGAAAACTTGCCTTGTGGCTATTTTTTATACCTTCTAGTTCTAGGTACCAATACATCGATTTGAAACCTAAATAATGGTATTGCTAATGGTAATATTAACTATTTCCCTACAAGGAAATATTTGGCATTCATTTTGTGAGAAGCCAGTACTGATTTCGGTTGAAATTTATAAAATATTTCTCTTAAAAGAATTTCTTAAGAAACAGGTTTCCGAAGTCCAGTAGCTGTTATCGCTCTTTCCAGTATTCGTGGAGACTTTGTTCCTAACATCTCATTTAAAGTAGTGTGAAATGTTAACATCTTTATTATGCCATTATTTTCTCTTTGAGTTACATATGCTATCCATTTCAGTTGTTGCTGCTGTGGGTAGTCCTCAAGTGATGTGGTTTCTATTATTTAGTACAGTTCTTTGTTCGTGATTATGTAGCGCCAGTCCTCAGAGTTCCAAGTAGGATAACCTTTGCCAAGACCCTCTGGATTTACTCACTCAAAGCTTTCTTTTTTTCCATCATTGTTCTTAGGAAGCGGTTGTTTACAGCTGACAGTTTAGATATTTCTGAACGGGTTTGGCGCCATACATAGCATCCATATGAAAGTCTCGACCTGACGAGGCTATTTAAGAACACGATTCTAGTTTGCAGGTTGATGTTTTCGTTTCGTTGCAATTTGTGACTTTGATAACAACTAAATATAGATTGATATTAAACAAGAAAAACTTGTAACGATAGACAGAAACAGCAAATTATCGTTAAGATGCTAAAGCTCATTTCACTGTAGGTAAGAGAACGAAAAACTTATTTTTATTCATTTTTTTAGTTTATTTCACAGTCATGGAAGATAAGATGCAGTTTATGTTGTTGATAATGTTTTCTATTATTCTTTGTCTCCAAATTTATCATTGTATTACTTAGTCCAAGATAGGGGCTGTCCAGGCTGAGTAGAAGGAGAATGTATTATTCCAGTGTCTTAGTTAAACTCATTCAAATTGAATGTATAGGTTGTGTTTCGGCATTTTTTTTTCTTAAATCAGTTCATTCTAAGCAAGGCGATAATGTCACTAAGATGCAAGGGGTTACTAGTAATGAAAGAGAATGAGAAAACTTTAGATGGAACCATAAACCCAATCCTAAAGAGGAACCAAGAGAAAGCCCTAGTCCTGTTCTTATTTTTTTTATATAAAAAAATTAAATTTTGACATTAAATGACCCATTAGGAGTTGATATGCCGTAAACCTAACCAAACCAAATTAGTCCCTGTTCAAAAGTACTGGGAAGAATAGTGACCCGGGTGTTAGGCGAACTGAGGAAAAAAATAAAAATAGTGACTTACGGCCATGTGACGTTGAAACAACCGTTTCCGTATGATGACCAAAGTTAAGCAACGTCGAACCTGATCAGTACATAGATGGGTGACCGCTTGGAAATACCAGGTGCTGTAAGCTTGTGGCTCGTAATTGTTAATCGGAGATTCGATATTCAATTTCATTTGGGTTTGTTATATTCACTTACGGTAAATATATAACACTCAGAAAACAGTCTGCCTGCCTTATATGAAGGGGTTATCAAGGAAAATACAAAGGATCTGCAGTCCATATAACATCAGGACAACCTTCAAAAGCTTGAAGACACTTCGCAGATATCTCTCCCGAGTAAGACCCCCCATAGAGGAGAACATGACTAAAGACTGTGTGTACGCTATCCCGTGCAGCTGCGGAAAGGAATATAAAGGAGAGACAGGCCGCCCCCTTAAGGTAAGGCTTCAAGAACACCAGAAAGCTGTAACACGAGGGGAAGCAGAAAACTCAGGCGTGGCTGACCACATATTTCCTTGGGAAATGTATGCATTCACTTCTGTGCCACCCATGGCTGCGAGCTAATTAGTAAGACCTTTCTAACTAAATCATTATCATCCTAAAAAATATTCTTACAATCTGGAAATATTTCATATTTGGCTTTAAATAAGCAGCAGAGGTTCGATAAGCCTTAGAAAAAGAATCAATCAGATGAAATCAAAAATTAAATAGTAATTAAAATTTCGGAGTTACAGCGGAGTCGTCAGAAGGATAGAGTTGAAGTAGACTTTAGAAGGAACCGGAAATATAATCCGAAACAGGAAACCTCTACTCCTGTTCAAAAGACCGAGAGGAGTGTGAACCGGACGATAAGCGAGCTTGTGGCACAGGCACATGTAAGCCACTCACGCACAACACACACACATGCGCATATACATTACGTAAACGAATGCAAATTCACACGCTGACAGTGTGTGACAGACAGGAGAGCAGCCATTCTTTTTTTGTTATAGATAAGTAATATTTCTGGGTTGTTAATTAAATATTGATAATCTGTGACAAAAAAAAAAAAAACTATTGGGATTATATTCTCGCTTTATATGTTCACAATAGTTTGCACGCTATCTCCACTCAGAAAAGTAGAAATGATTAATGAGTTTGCGTTTTAATAAATCCAGAGGATAAATTGAAAGAAACTGTGGTCATAAAACCTGGGTATAAGGAAAGTATTTCTGAAGAGGGAGGAAAATATGAACTGAAAACGATGGCTAAAGAAAGACGAATGAGAGAAAAGGCAAGGTTAAACGGTAAAGGCAAAGCTGATTATGAGAGAGAGAGAGAGAGAGAGAAGAAGAGGGGGGAAATAGATAAAGGGAAATAAAGGAGACTATCTACTTCTTCGTCTCTGCCCTCACCTTTTTCTCTCTCATCAGGGGAAGATAAACTAGGAGATAAAAGAAGAAGAGAATAAGAAATAAAGAAAGCAGATGAAAATAAATCAAACAGAAAAACGGAAAGAAGAAAGAAAGAAAGAATTAATGAAGGGAATGAATAATATGTAAAAATTGTACAGCAGAAGGAGATGAGTAAGAAAGAAGAAAAAGGAAATGTAATTGACGGTGATATAAAGCATTCAACAGCAGAAAGGGAAGCAATAGAAAGAAAGAAAGAAAGAAAGAAAGAAAGAAAGAAAGAAAGAAAGAAAGAAAGAAAGAATAGAAGAAAGAAAGAAAGAAAAATGGGATTGAATGTGACATTAAAAATCAAACAGTAGATAGAAAGAAAGAAAGCAAGAAAGAAAGAAAGAAAGAAAGAATGGAAGAAAGAAAGAAAGATTGGAAGAAAGAAAGAAAAATGGGATTGAATGTGACAAAAAATTAAACAATAGAAAGAAAGAAAGAACGAAAGAAATAAAGCAAGCAAGCAAGAAAGAAAGAAAGAACGAAAGAAAGAAAGAAATAAAGAATGGAAGAAAGAAAGAAAAATGGGATTTAATGTGACAAAAAAAATTAAACAATAGAAAGAAAGAAAGAACGAAAGAAATAAAGCAATAAAGAAAGAAAGAAAGGACGAAAGAAAGAAAGCAAGCAAGAAAGAAAGAAAGAAAGAAAGAAAGAAAGAAAGAAAGAATGGAAGAAAGAAAGAAAAATGTGATTGAATGTGACAAAAGAAATTAAACAGTAGAAAGAAAGAAAGAAAGAAAGAAAGAAAGAAATAACGAAAGAAATAAAGCAATAAAGAAAGAAAGAAAGGACGAAAGAAATAAAGCAAGCAAGAAAGAAAGAATGAATGGAAGAAAGAAAGAAAGAAAGAAAGAAAGAAAGAATGGAAGGAAGAAAGAAAAATGGGATTGAATGTGACAAAAATTAAACAGTAGAAAGAAAGAAAGAAAGACAGAAAGAAAAGAAAAGAAAAGAAAGAAAAATAAAAACGAAAGAAAGGAAGAAGTAATTGAATAAGGTCGAAAAAATTGAGTCTCCAAGAGAGGAATAACAATGAAAGTATTTGAAAATAAAAAAAACATCAAGAAAGAAAGAAAGTTATTAAACGCAAGAGAAAATGACGCAATGAAGAAGAAGAAGAAGAAGAAGAAGAAGAAAAAGAAGTAGAAGTAGAAGAAGAAGAAGAAGAAGAGAAAGAAGTAATAGTGAAATATGAATATAAAACAAGTGGCGCCAACAAAAGGAGGTAATCAATGAATGAATAAAAGGACGATGTGAAAGAGATTTAAAACAAATTTAACCGCATCACAAAAAGAAAGGAAGTAAGAGGATATTTTTAAAAAGCAAAAGGAAAACAGGGAGAATGAACGTCATCTAATCGAAAGGAAACTTTGCCAAGTCAAACAAAAAAAAAAAAAAAGTTAATGGAAATTTAGAAAAGCAGACCCGTACAAGAAAAATAGTGATGGGATACACAAACTTAAATATGGAAGAGGCAAAAACGAAGAAAGAGTCGCGTTGTAAATGATTGTTAAGACGAGTCGGTAGAGGCGAAACATTTACGAATAAATCTCATCATGGTCTTCATTACGTCCATTCTTATCGGTGTTAGTGGTTCACTGCTTCCATTCGACCAACCTTTTGAGACGATATTTAATAATACATTATCTCAGTCTCTGCGAAATGTCTAGCAATCGACGCTAGTTGTCACACGAGCATCAATAATAACTCGAGATAACCGGGCCTTTCGGGCATTACGGAGCATAAGAACTTTAACTGCAAAAGTTATAGAATTTAAAAGATTTTCCTTGGAGAGTCATACTGGGAAAAGCGGTGTACGTTCTATGACGGTAATTATTAATACTTGAGCTAACACATCTGCTGAGGTTTTGACTAGAGAATTATAGACTGACCACTACTTCCAGTAACAAATTTATATGTTATATATTTTTTTAAGTTCTTTTAGATGTTCAACTGTGGTTGTCATAACAGTGAAATATCTCGTCAGCTGATTCACGTTAAACATGGCTTTCTAAAGTGATGAAAGAAATAAAAAAAAAAAATAAACAGAAAAAGCTGTGGTTGAAATAAGGATTTAATCGGTGAAAGAAAGAAAGAAAGAAAGAAAGAAAGAAAGAAAGAAAGAAAGAAATAAAGAAGAAAGAAAGAAAAAGAAAATTTGTTGAAGATGACAAAGAATAGGAATAGAATTGCGGTGGGAGAATTAAAGAGTAAGTTAATAGGAGAAAGAAAGAAAGAAAGAAAGAAAGAAAGAAAGAAAAAAGAAAGAAAGAAAGAATATTGAATTTGTCAATAAATAAGTTGGGTGAGTAACGATGGAGTCAATCTGAGAACAAAGAAAGAAAGAAAAAAAGAAGGAAATAAAAAAATAAAGAAAGAAAGATAATTAAATTGGGAGGGGAAAGGTGGAGGTAAAGAAAGAAAGAAAAGGACAGAGAAAGAAAGAAAAAGAAAAATTATTTAAGTTGACAAAAAAGATCATTGAAGTGAGAGGGGAAAAGGGTGAGTAAAAGGAAGGAAGGAAGATGGAGAAAGAAAGAAAGAAGGAAGGTAGAGAAGGAAGGAAGGAAGAAAGGAAGGGAGGGAGGAAGGAAGGAAGGAAGGTTGAGAAGAAAGGAAGGAAGGAAGGTTGAGAAGAAAGGAAGGAAGGAAGGTTGAGAAGGAAGGAAGGAAGGAAGGAAGGAAAGAAGGTTGAGAAGGAAGGAAAGAATGTTGAGAAGGAAGGAAGGAAGGAAGGAAGGAAAGAAGGTTGAGAAGGAAGGAAAGAATGTTGAGAAGGAAGGAAGGAAGGAAAGAAAGAAGGAAGGTTGAGAAGGAAAGAAGGAAGGTTGAGAAGGAAGGAAGGAAGGAAAGAAGGAAGGTTGAGAAGGAAGGAAGGAAAGAAGATTGAGAAGGAAGATTGAGAAGGAAGGAAGAGAGGAAGGAAGGTTGAGAAGGAAGGAAGGTTGAGAAAGAAGGAAGGATAGGTTGAGAAGGAAGGAAGGAAGGTTGAGAAGGAAGGAAGGAAGGAAGGAAGGAAAGAAGGAAAGAAGGTTAAGAAAGAGGGAAGGTAGGTTGAGAATGAAGGAAGGAACAAGGAAGGAAAGAAGGAAGGTTGAGAAAGAAGTAAGAAAGGTTGTGAAGGAAGGAAGGAAGGAAGGAAGGAAGGTTGAGAAGGAAGGAAGGAAGAAAGGCTAAGAAAGAAGGAAGGAAGGTTGAGAAGGAAGGAAGTTTGAGAAGGAAGGAAAGAAGGAAGGTTCAGAAAGAAGGAAGGAAGGACGGAAAGAAGGAAGGAAGTTTGAGACGGAAGGAAGAAAGGAAGGAAGGTTGAGAAGGAAGGTAAGAAGGTCAAGAAGGAAGGAAGAAAGGAAGGAAAGTTGAGAAGAAAGGAATGAAGGAAGGAAAGAAGGTTGAGTAAGAAGGAAGGAAGGAAGGAAGAAAGGAAAGGGGGAAGGAAGGAAGGTTGAGAAGGAAGGAAGGAAGGAAGGTTGAGAAGGAAGGAAGGAAGGTTGAGAAGGAAGGAAGGAAGTAAGGAAGGTTAAGAAGGAAGGAAGGAAGGAAGGAAGGTTGAGAAGGAAGGAAGGAAGGAAGGAAGGAAGGTTGAGAAGGAAGGAAGGAAGTAAGGAAGGAAGGAAGGTTGAGAAGGAAGGAAGGAAGGAAGGAAGGTTAAGAAGGAAGGAAGGAAGGAAGGAAAGAAGGAAGGAAG